GGAGGGGTGGCCAGGGAATAATTCATAGGTTAGACAGCCTCATACGTTAAGGACGGAGATGTGTCAGGTTGAGAGGGAAATAATACCATTTATATCACGTACTTGGTACAGGCAGAAAACTGGAGGGCAGTAATGCCAAAATAAACTTTTGGAGGGGTTACGTTCAGTATGAGCCGTGCGAGAAAGGCTGATGCCGTGCTGGGCGCGCCCTGGTGCTGTGTCAGGGAGCGCAGGGACTCATCCTGCCGGTCTGCCCAGCTCCCAGCCTCGGGGAGATGGGTGATCGGGAAGTCAGTGGCTACCCAGAGGGATGCGGGGAGGACGAGCACTGTGCATCCGTGCCCCAGGACGGGCCGAGTTGAGCAAGTGCTGCTGCAGGAGGGGGGGAGCTGAGGCTGGTCCGCAGGGTGCCTGTGGCTTTGCAGCGAGTGGGGTTTTGGATTCGGTTACCTCACGGAAGGGTGTGCGCATGTGAAATACGAGGGGAATCTGGAAACCATCGCATATGTGCAGAAGAGAGAGCAAGGAGGGCAGCCCTCACGGGTACTTGTAGTGGAACCTGTTGATGAAAGTTGATGCTTAAGGTTTAAAAAGAGAAAAGTTCTATTGGGAGAAAACCACATTCTGTTAGCGATGGATGCCGTATCAGGATATTGTTTGGTCCATCTGGACCTCATCTGTCCCACCCTCATTAAAGAGCAAATACTCTCTGTCAGAGACATGAGCCTAGAAGGACTCCTGCTTAAATTGGAGAGTTTTGCAATCATAGAGTCTGCCGGCATGTATCTTATTGCAAGACTGCAGTATTAAGACATGAGCATTTTGAGGAAGGTATTTTCTACTATTATAGCTAAAACCCAAGATCTTAAATAGTAATTCAGACTAGCTGAGTCCTTTTTTTTTACAGGCTTATGTGTTTTATCTGGATATCGCAGTGTGCTTGTGGCCTGATGCGGTCCCTTCCTAGGCCTTCGGGAGTGAGGATGCAGCCCCGCCGCTCCGGTTCCTGAATCCCTTTGGCTGTCGCCTTGGTCAGAAGCTTCAGCCCCTGAGCTCGCTGACGGTGCAGTCAGGGGACAAGTGACAGCGGGCTCTGAGCCAGCAAAGGCAAAAGAAATGAATGTGCAGCAGAACATGGAAAGGTAAAATTATGTGATTGCACCGAGGAAGGTTTGTAAGGCAGTTGTACGAGTGATGAAAATTAAGGTAAGCCCGGCACGGTTCTATGCCAGCGCGGCAGCAGCCAGCTGGGAGCCCTGCAGAAACCCACCTCCCGCACCGGCTTCTAGAGGCAGCTGTTGGTCGTATCAGTGCTTTTAAATGATCTTTCAGGGCTTAAATAAATTAATTGTAAGCTCTCGTAAACGGAAAAACAAATGTTTGCTGGTTCTGTGTAAAGAGTTGCCTTGCCCCGGTAGCCTGCTGTCCTTGATTTTCACAAGCTGTGTGTGTGGTGGGATTTCCCCTGTGGGGTTCGTGCTGATCCTGCAGCAGCCCCTGGCTTCTCTCTGCCCCTTGGAGCAGGGTAGGGGCACCGGCCGTGTTGTCGGCTCGGCCCTCGGCCGCTCTCGCTCCTTGCTGAGCTGCGCTGGGTGCTGTGCTGACACTCGGGTCCTGGGGGAGTTTTGTATAACACAGGAGGCATCTTTTTTGGGTACCCTTTTTACGTCTTTTCTCCTTCCACAATTAATAGCTTTTTCCCCCCCCTAACTTATCCTTGCTGGTGTGCGTGAATGCTCCTGCAGTGATCTAAATCTTTGGCTTTGGAAAGAATAAATAAGTGGTCATTGTTGTTCATGCTATATTGTTATTTTCTGACTTTTAAAAAAGTATCCAGAAGGATGCATGTAATGCTGGGTTTGTTCACGTCTTTCTTTGGAGATACGCATCTTCTGTGCCAGCTAAGTGAACAACAATGGTGTTTAATAAGCACGTGCATGTGGATATACCAACTTTCAGGCTATCATGTCTCGGAAGGTGAATTATAAACCCAGCTTCCCCAAGGGCCTGGAACTCTAGGGAAACCTGGGTTTAAACAACCGTGAGAATCCAGATGTTTAGTATTCACTGAAGGCCCTACAGAAGAACTGGACTTCGAGGCTGTGTTCCTGGGAAAGGAAAACTGATAAAATACCCATGTTGGCAAAGAAGGCCACAGGGAAACCAAAGAAAGAATAAGGGCAGCCCACGGAGGTCAAGGGAAATCAAAGCTGGGTCAGGCTGAACTGCTCAAGGTACAAAAGGAGCAAATGGAGATTGCGCAGGGCCGTTCTTCTCTGTGAGATGCTTCACCCTAGAGATTTCAGTGGATTTTGGAGGAAATGCACAGCTTCTGCTTCTGGAAACAATGCTGGTATTTGGAGAGTGTCTTAGTTTCTCCTTCAGGACAGTAAAGTATGCCACAGGGTAACAAAGACTGCATGAACTATCTGGAAACCTGGCCGACTTATTTGATGCACTTGGACGATTTCAAAGCAGAACGGAACTACTGCATAAACTAAACCTCAGACGGCCAAAAGGCTGACGAGTTGGTGCCTCTGGTCTGAAATGGTCCTCCACCCTTGCAATACTGAAGTATCTCAGAAGCTTTACTGGATGCGTCTTCACCATACTACAGCAAGGAACGTGGTCACCCACCTCTGAAAACTGGGTTGGAGGTGAGAGGAGGATGAGGTGCTGAGGGCTGTGTCTCCATGACTGGGCTGTGGACACACAGGATGCTCTTTGGAGAGCCAAGACTGGTATGCCAGCCCTTTGAGGCTCTTCCCCCTTCCTTTTGCATGTCTCCGGAGCACTGGATGGCCCCACAACACAATGCTGTAGTGAACAGAGGTTTAACAGTTGCTCCCAACTTCCCAAACACATTTGTTGGCAGCTCTCCACATTGAATTGAGAAGTCCAGCAATGTCAGAGAGACGTGTCCTGCCTGCCTTTGGCACAGACAGGCTCTGCTGCCTGTAGCTCGTATTCACGTTGAAGAATTAGCATTGTTCTGCTGTGCTATGGCATCTCACTGGGTGCCATTCAGACCGGCTTTAATTCAGTTAACAAGCCAATTGAGACCACAGAATAGCAAGAAAAATCATAAAAGGCCTGAAAGTTATTGGTGTTTAGCAATGTCCTTAGCTGTAATGTAGGCCGTGGGCTTTCATGTGAGAACGGCATATACTCAAGAAGCTGATAATGTTTGTATTTAAAAGATCATAGAGATTTTTGTCCTGCTGA